CTTGCTTACCTACCTCATTTCTTTGCTATAGGAAAATACTGCTGATAAAAGCCAAGCTTGTATGTAAACAATGTACGTATATGAACTTATTTAATCCTCAAAACAGCCCTATGAGATTGGTACTATTAATGTTCCCTCTTTTTTTGTTTGTTTGTTTGTTTGCAGTTTTTGGCCAGGGCTGGGTTTGAACCTGCCACCCCTGGCATCTGGGGCCAGTGCCCTACTCCTTTGAGCCATAGACACCGCCCTAATATTCCCTCTTTGACAGAGAAGTAAACTGAGGCACAGGGCAGTTTCCTAACTTGCCCAAGGTCACCCACAAAGGAGGGATTTGAACCTGGCAATCTGGCTCCAGCGTCCGTGCCTCCAGTGCTGTGAATCACTTTGTTACGTGGCATGATACCAGAAAGCCCCAAACACTTTTGAAAATGCTGTCAATGAGTGGTGCCTTTCTTAGTCTTGTTAGAGCTGTTCTCGTGAGGGAGGGTGCAAAGCCGGGTCACGACTCACTGGGCAAGTGAGGATAAATCCTGCAGGCATAGGTCTGCACCCTGGCAGCCAGGTGCCCAGCTTCCCATGGCATGTCCCCCCACCCCTCCCAGCTGCAGGACTGTCTTCCTATGTTCTTATTCAAAGCAGTGTCTCCGCTGCCAAGAGCAGGTTTGTCTGTCTCCTGGAGACAGCGGTTGTCAAGCCCTCAGAGAACAGCAAGCTTGTCAAAAATAGCCGTGCCAGCAGACTGCACGGCTGCAGTTTCCTTTTGCATTGTCGGCTTTGCTCTCACCAGAGAGGCACAGTCTGTCTGCATGCCCTGAGGCCTGCACCAGGGGTTGCTTGAGATTCCGAAAGGTTTTCTAAGGCAGGTAAAGCATAGCTACTGTGGCTCATGACCAAGGAAGAGAAATTTGCTTTAGAGTAACAATGATGAGGATGCAGTTGTGTTTAATAAAAAAAAAGAAAGAAAGAAAGAAAAAACTGGTATAAGTCCCAGCAGGCGAGGCCCCAAATAGGTCAAGTGATAGCCAAGGTTAGCCTTATGTTAATGACCCTTATGTACTGCAGACCCCTTTTCTCCTTTGCTCTGAGAATGAAGGAGTCACTAACCTCTTGGGATAACCCTTCAAAAGTGGTTGCAGGTAGATTTCCAATCTCCCTTTGGGGTACCATGTGGGACAAGGGGACAAGGACCAAGAAGGGACAGAGGCAGGGTGATCTACTTTCTCAAGTTCAGAGCAAAAGGACATGAAAAAATGGCAATCTCTAACTCCACAGGGACCTCCAGCCCAGAACAGAAAAATGGTTCATCGGGAGACCTGGCAACCTGAAAACCCATCTGTCTTTCTTCCCAAGGGCTCGTGTCTGGGAAGATCCCTCTCCCGCCCACCACCAAGCTCCAGACCTTATTCTGCCATGAGCTATCTGTGCAACCCGAGGCAGCCTGTAGAAAGTGGGATGCAGAGAGCAAACCTTACAGCTTAATAAATAGATTTCTCTTCCCCTCCTAAGTGACTATGACAAGCTAGAATTAGAGCACACTATCCTTCCATGGCAATAACACACAGTCAAAACCAGTCTGAGCCAGGATGGCAGCTCCAGCCAGACTGTCCTGGGTGGACAACATTCCCCAGGAATCTATCTCGGATTGTATGTGGAGTTCCAGGGGCTCAGCCAGTGGCAGGGAGGAATGACCAGGACAGGAAGGTCCATCGGAGGAAAAGCACCGGGGAGAGAGAAGGAAGGCAGCCTGGGAGCATGAGGCGAACAGGGCAAGAGAACTGAGAAATAATAGTGGAGAAGGCTAAGTAAGGTACAGGAGGGCTCTCACCTCGCACTCTTTTTGTTTGCCCAAAGCACCAAAGACTGCTAGGACTTCTTCATAGGTTATTAAGGGTTGATGGGTTGTTAAGGGTTAATGACTACTGTAGAGAAGAGTGTGGGGAAGGGGTTAGGAAAAATAAAACCTTGGCTCCTGTGCATTTCTTAAGGAATTCTAAGAAAGAATTGTGGGTATGGGGATTAGGTAGGGTTTTTGGTTTATTTGAGAGGATTTTTTAAGTTTTTTTTTTTTTTTGCTAGCAAAGTATAAGTTCTTTGGACAAGATCACTGCCCTAGTCCTCCATAACTAATAACATCCCACACCTTTATCATCGTTCCATACACGCTAATTATGTTTTGCACTACTAAAAAGTGGCTTATCTTTAGAGAGAAAAAAAAAAAGCATGCAAATTCCACAACAGTTGATGTCAAAATTAAACACACACACACACACACACACACCAATTCTTGATATTGTGCAGGAACAGCAAGCAGTGACTGCATGTAAGCTCTGAGGTGTCCCCATGTGGCAGGAGAAAAAAACTGTCATTCCATTCCAGTTATTCAGTCTGGGCCATCTTTAGATCGTGATTATCACCACGATCCTGTTTCAGAACTTGTCTATCAACCCCCAAATGTTCTCTGGTGCCAGTTCTGCCTACACAACATTCAGCCCTTGAGGGCCCCCGGAGCCATCCTGATGTCCTGATGCAGACAGGATTTACCCTATGCTCTAAGACCTCCACCAAGGAAAGTCCATAAACTCTCCTTATGGACTGGCTGGTGAATTAGTCAAAGAGTGTCTGTTCCCTGCCCCTTGCACCTCTGGGATTTATGTCCTTTCCTTTTGTTTTGCCTTAAGACAAATAAAACAGCCACCCAGATGCTGAGAAAACCTCCAAGTGGAGTGAGGAAAATTACGTGTATTAGCCCGCCCCTGAGTTAAGGCTTTTTCCAGACTGACTCCAATCTTTTGCCTTCCTTCTAAGGCCTCTATCCTTGTTTATTTGACCATTTCTATGGTTCTTTTGTTTTTGATCTCTCTGCAGGCCTCTTAACTTTGGGGAAGCCTGAGGTGGACACATTCCGGTACTATTGGCAGGGCCTTTATCTGAGACCATTCCGGTTCATTCTCTTCCCTCTCCCTTCGCCCTTTTATGCTTGCAGGTTCAGGAAATTTCTGGGAGACATTTTTCTAAACCCATAGCAGTCTCATCCTGTAGGGGAGGCTCAGGAAATCCCCTTGTGGAGGTAAGTCTAGCAGGAAAGGCTGGTATGGTGAGATGTCAGGAAAAGGGGGTCCTCCTGCACCCACCCCGCACCACAGCTGTCCTAGGGTTCAATGTGTGACCTCAACATCCACGCTACAGGTGGCCCCAGCCACTGACAGGTGGAGAGAAAGCAAAAGAGAGGGAGGGAGATACACATAGAAAGAATAAGAGTTAAAACAAGGGGAGGTGGGGGAAGGGCAAACCAGAAGGAAGGAAACTGGAGGAGGGACAAAAAGGCAAAGAAAGTAAGCAAGAAAAGAAGAAAATGGAACAATGCACAGAAAGGAGGATGACAAAAAAGGGGGCAGCAGCAGTGAGGGAACAGACACAGAAAAAGGAAATAAACAGCTGAAGGAGCAAAGAAAAATACACACAAAAAGTGAAGTGGCCGCCAAGGAAAGAAAATCCAAACCCCGTCTCTGCCCAAACACAGGCTCTCCCACCTCCTCCCCCCACCTCGAGTTCTAATTTTGCCTGAAGAACTAAGCCAGAAATGAAATTCCCCTCCAGTAGAAAGAACCTACCTTGGATGTGAAGGCGGCCAGCTGTCCCTGCTCCCTCCTTGGGGACTCGCAGGCAGGAGGAATACCCCGGGCTGAGGCTGACAGTTCAGAAGCCCTCTGGGAGGAGCTCCTGCTGGCTGGAGCCAGGTGTAAGGAGGGCTTGGACCCCGCTGCTCCTGGCAGCTGTGAATCGCCACCCCAGCTGTCCAGGTGACACAAAGAGCATTTTCTCTTGGTGCTCAGAGCACAACATCCATATAAAGGGCTCAGGGTCAGAAAGGGACCCCTTGACAAAATCCTTCATGGAAACTAGGTCGGGCAACAGCCGCTCGGGTTTTCTTCGGCATGGTACCAAGAACCACCTATGAGATTCCTCCCAGGAGCCTGTTCCCTGGGAGGAAGGAGTTGCATTTTTCTGTCTCTCCTCCAAGTGGGAAGAGCCTCCCTTTGAGGAGATGAGAACTCCATGATACCCAAGACCATTATTACTCTTGGGGAGGCACAGCCTGGCTGCCACTTGAGGGATAAGTCGTCCTCTCCCAGGGCTCCCCTGGTCATTTTGAAGACCATACTAGTGACGTTGGTTTAACTGGGCAGTTGCTTAGCATTCAAATGTCTGAAGAGTCAGGAGTGAGATGAGGCAGCTTCCGTGACTGGGTAGGGAAATCAGGAAGAAGGTCCAGGGAGGAAGTTCTGGAGACCTGCTTCCTCTGTATTTTCCAAAGGTTCCCCCGTCCCTGTCCTGGCACTACTGCCTCAGAACCAATATGTAGGAGGTGCTCCTGTTTAAGGACTTGGGAATATATGGTCCCCTGTTTTCCCTTGATGCCCAAATCAGAGGATGGAGAAAACAGTCTGGAAGGTTGCTACGGCAACCAGAGTCCCTGGAGAGCCCAGCTCTTCACAAACCCTTTACTCTCAGGCATGCTCTGACTTGAAAAAGAAATGTGTCTCAGGGGTGGTGATGAGGATGATCACACACACATATACAGAGATACATGCAGACATGTCCCAGCTTTAACCCTCAGCTAGGAACATTCTTTCTGCCTCTGGAATGGGCCCCTCTCTTCTTTTTCCAAATAGCCAGGAATAACTGAAAAGATTTGTAAAGCTAGCATTGGCCTTAGAACAGCTTTCTGAAAGATAAACACCTCTATTTCCTACTGTATTTCAGGTTTGGAGAAGCCAAGCTCCCGGTCAAGGTGACCTCCAGCCCGAAAGGACATATCTAAAGATCACCCTCCTTTCTGAAGGGTAAGAAAAAAGCCTGAGGCTCAGTCTAAGAGGCGAGTAAGGTATTTAGGGAGCTGATGGTCCATAATAGCCTACCCTTAGGCTTTGAATCTAAGGCAGGAACTCAGGGAAAGGCCTTGCCTGAGGGGAATGGAGAGACAAGGTAATGAACTAAAAATCAAATCCATTACCAAAGTTCATGCGTTGCATAGCATCATCCCCAGCTTCCCAGATGAGTTCATTGTTACTCCCCATGAGGTAGGCAGGGGAAGACATTAATGATTCCATTTAATGGGAGGGGAAACTGAGGCACAAAGAGGGACTGTGGTGCCAAGGTTACCCTGTAAAGTTGTGGCAAAATCTAGATTTTAGATCTGGCACTCAGAGGAGCCACACTGCCTCTCAAGCAAACTCTCAAAAGACTGTCCCCTTGTAAGTTGCTCTTCAACAAAATAATTCTTTTTTTAAAAAAAATTCTCATGAAAGAGTCTCAAAGCATAGACATGATGTTAAAAACGTGTTTACAGTCCTTTCGGTTTCAGAACTGCACCCAGAAGAGTACATCAGAACAGTACATCACAGTTCATCAAAGGCAAAAATGAGTGGCAATGTGATTGGGAGAGAAAGGAGGGCAGGTGGGGAGGTGGGGGACGGCAGTGGTTTCACAACAGAAGAAGGTGGCTTAGCCCAGGTGGGAACACCACCACTTTATCTTACCAGTGAGAGCAGGTCAGGTGTAGCTCCAAGGGGCAGAGCTGACGAGTGTTTGCTTGACTCAACCAAAAAACCCTCAGAGTGAGGTTTTTGGTAAAGGAATAATGCTGGTTCCTTACTCTAAACCACATATTTTACACCCATAAAATGAGAAGAAACCCATGCTGGCATCCAATTGTGCTTTTACCTGTCTGTGGGTTTAAGCTGGAGTTTGCAATCCTAAGTCAAATTCCCAGGAAGTAGAGTGGAGGGCTAGTGAGGGCTGGGGAAATGGGGGTGGAAAAGCTGCCTCTGCAACAAGCCCCCTCTGCCTCTTCCAGAGGACGATACCTGTTTAAGCAGCATCTTGCTTCAGTCTCTGGGCAAGCCAGCTGCTTGACTCCATTCAGCCATCCCTCCTAGCTCTGTGGTTCCTTTCTTCCAGCTCCTCTGCACAGGAAGGCACTTACACAAATAGAGTATTTGGCTCTGAGAAGGAACCTTCCTGGAAGCTAGAGAGAATCAGGGGATCATAGTGGGAAGGACTAAATGCAGACCAAAGGCCAGTATCTCCTGTGCTGGAATGCACCTGGAAGAATCCATTGGTCCCTCTGGTCTGGGACTGACCCTCACGTCCTCCAGATGGTCGGATTTGATTGTTTTCTCTAATTCCATCCAGGATTAGAAACAAAGAACCTATTTTGAGGCTGTGCAAATAAAGGCCCTACCACAGGTCCTCTGTAGGATGCCCAACAGGTGTTACAGGTCACTAGACTAAAACAGCCAGGTGAGTATTGTTTCTGTCCTCCAGCTTCTGCCAATTACCAAGTTTCCAGAAGCTAAGTGCAGTGTATGACCCAAACAAAGGACACTAAGGAGAAAGACAGGACCCAGGTATGGTTGGTTTCCATCCCGTTGATGTTGCCACCATCCTAAAGATATTACAAGTCCCAGATGTGAAAAATCAGTCTTGAGGAAAGGTCAGGCAGAAATGTATATGTCATCCACATGACAGAAGATGGGCATGATTGGGTGGCACCACTGGAATTTCAAAAATGTCACTTAGATGGATAAACCTTGAATGCTGCAGGGATCGAGCCACAAAGTTGACAGGCTGGGTGTTTGGTCCTTATGCCAGGTAGTGGGAGTAGGAGAGGGGGTCAAGAAGTCAGCTGGAGCCAGCGTGAGAGTAATGAGAATGAGAAGGAAGCCTGAGAGATTGTTTGCTCAGGGCTCCACTTCTCCTGCAGGCCCTGCCTGCAGCACTCAAACCTCGGTGAGCATCCTCTTCTCTCCAAACGCCCGATGTGGTGTGGGAAGGTAGCTGGGTCTCCGTTCCCGGGGGGCCTCGGAGAAGTCAGGCTTTCCAAGTCCATTGTCAGTCACCTTTAGGTCCGGTGTGGGCTGCCCACAAGTGACATGGGTGTACTGGCCCTGCTCCTCCTGCTCCGTCTCCCGGTGGTAGAAGTAGTTGAAGTTGGAGACGATGACCGGCACAGGCAGAGCAATGGTGAGGACCCCTGCGATGGCGCACAGGGAGCCCACGATCTTGCCCCCCACTGTCATGGGGTACATGTCCCCGTAACCTACTGTGGTCATTGTAACCACCGCCCACCAGAAGGCATCTGGGATGCTGGGAAAGAGTGAGTCATCATCATCAGCCTCCGCGAAGTAGACGGCGCTGGAGAAGAGGATGACCCCGATGAAGAGGAAGAAGATGAGCAGCCCCAGCTCCCTCATGGAGGCCTGCAAGGTCTTGCCCAGGATCTGCAGCCCCTTGGAGTGGCGGGAGAGCTTGAAGATGCGGAACACCCGGACCAGGCGGATCACTCTGAGGATGGCCAGGGACATGGCCTGCTGCCCGTTCTGGCCACCCCCTCCGCTGGCCGACTGCTGCTCCTGTTGCTGCACCAGCTCGGTACCCAGGGTGATGAAGTAGGGGAAGATGGCCACCAAGTCAATGATGTTCATGATGTTGCGGAAAAAAGCGGGCTTGCTGGGGCAGGCGGAGAAGCGCACCAGGAGCTCAAAGGTGAACCAGACGATGCACAGAGTCTCCACCAGAAAGAAGGGGTCTGTAAAGAAGGAGCCCCCCAGAGTACTGAGTGAGGGTGAGCCCCCTGTCCCCATTCCCCCAGAGGAGATGCCAGGGTGGAATGTATAGGAATCATCTTCATCCTCCTCTTCCTCCTGACTGCCCCTGGAAACCGGGGAGACGCGGCTCACACCGTCACCGTTGCTTCCACCTCGACCGTCTGCCCGGAACTGGGGCAAGGTCTCCAGGCAAAAGATGACGATGGAGATGAGAATGACCAACACCGAAACGATGGCGATGCCCCTGGCGGGCCCAGAGCTCTCCGGATACTCAAAGAGGAGCCACACCTGGCGCTGGAAGGGCTGCGACGGCAACGGCTTCTCGTCCTCCCCACCTTCAGGTAAGCAGCCCTCGTCCTCCCGGAAGGCCGCCAGGGCCTCGTCGCCCAGTTGGTAGAAGCGAATCTCCTCCAGGAAGATGTCCAGGGGCACGTTGACCGGCCTCCGCAGGCGGCCCCCCGACTGGTAGTAGTAGAGGATGGCGTCGAAGCTGGGCCGGTTGCGATCGAAGAAGTACTCGTTCCGCAGGGGGTCGAAGAAGCGGACTCGGCGGCCAGGGTCTCCAAGTAGCGTGTCGGGAAACAGCGACAGGGTGCGCAACTGTGTCTCAAAGCGCAGCCCGGAGATGTTGATCACCAGCCGCTCGCTACTACAGCAGCCCCCACCCCCGCCGGCCTCCGGGAAGTCTCCCGCATCCTGTTGCTCCCCCTCCGGCCCACGGACCTCCCCCGGTGCCGCCAGCGTAAGGGATTTCTCCGATCTCATGTCCCCTCCGCGGTGCGCTCCCCGCCACTAGGACGGCGCCCACGACACAACCTCTGGAGCGCGGCGCCCGCTTCTCAGCTCCCGGCCGTGCCCTCTCTTTAGGGTGGGGCTCGCGGTCTGACCTGGCGCTGGGGTCGGTGAGCCCTGAAGCCCTGGTCCCTGCTAGGCTTGGTCTGGGGAGGTGAGCTGGACGCCGAGGGTCTGGCTCTGCGCTTCCAGCCGCCCGCGCCTCGCTGTTAGAGCTTACTGGGATGCCCGGAACCGCAACTGGCGCGTGTGAAACTGGCTGTCTGAGAAGACGCGTGGCTTCGCCCAGCCGTGCCCGGGACTGGGCTCCCGGACGCAGGGGTCAGCCTCCAGCCCGGCCAGCTCTTCCCGGCTCCCACCGCGCTCCTCCAGCAGCGCAAGCCCCTGGGCTGCCGCTGGTACCGCGGCGCCAGATGCGCCTCCCTTCGGCTCGCCGGAGACTCCTGGCGCGGCTCGGCCTCCGCCCCACGTCCACCGCGGAGATCGGTCTGGCCAAGGTCGCGGTTCCAGCCGCCACAGCTGTCACCTCCTCCCTAGGAGCCACGCCGCAGGCCTCGGAAAGGGCCCCTGGGGCTGCCCCGGCGCCGGAGCGCGGGGACCCACCTCCCCAGGCTCAAGCCTTCGCTGCAGCCGCCGCAGCTGCAGCGGCTCGGCTCTCGGCTCTGCCCTTCCTTCCCAACACACACTCTCCGAGTGACGTGGCAGGCCCCGCCCGCTGCCCCTTCCCACCCACTCCCACATCACACCCCTCGCCCAGCCAGGGGCTGCTGCGAGCCAGGGCGCTGTGGGACTAGACACACACTTGCCTCCCCAGTGATCCTTCCCGCGCTCTCCTGGCACGCCCCTCGCCTTCACGCATTCACATCCACGGGCCCCCCAAACAGCCTCCAGGACCATGACACCACACCCCCCGCCACCCTGCTATTTATCTGTTTACCGGCTTGTCCCATTTATGTTTACCGAGTAGACCTGCGCGGTGTATTTCATCAACAGGAAGACACAAGCCGCCCCACTACACCATACGGAGCCCCATGCCTCCACTCATCTAGAAATCGGAGGGGAAAATAATTATACCACATTTCATCCGTCTGTATGTACGAGGACCCATTTGCTAGCTTCTCCAATATATACTGAAAAAAAAAAATAGAGGAAGTATTTTTGACATGTCTTGAAAGCTTTCCATTTAAATTGCATTCCAATGTAGTTCTCCCAGAGAATTTTCCTTTGCAGACATTGGAGGGGGAGCCTTAAAACTATTCTAGCATTGCACAGAGATAATAGAGAAAGGGGTGGGAAGTCCATCCTCGCCCTTCCCATCAGGAGTTCTCTAGGACAGTCCTGGGAAGGTGAGGCAGGAGAGAACCAGTAGAGAGGGTGGCTTCGCAAAGATACCACATCCCAGGGGAGGACACTCTGAAAACCCTTTGTTCCCAGCCACCCGGGATGCATGTGGAATTTCTGCTTCTAAGGCTAACCAAGCAAAGAGAAGAGAAGATGGATGGAAATGGGTCAGAGTTTTGATTAAAAAAAAAAATTGTTAGAGTTGCTGAGCATCTAATATGTACAAGCCATATTCTAGGTGGTTTACCAGAAAGACAGCCTCTGCTCCTAGATCATGTTACAATGAAGATCCATTTGGCAATATTTGGGTAGGGCAAAGTTTGTTGTTAGGGACCAGTTGACTCTTTCCCTAACTGTGCAGAAGGAAGGAGATAAGAAAGGTTTTCCACCCATTTCTGCTGGTGAACATACTGCTTCTCTTCACTAGACGGAACCATTTGGGATCTGACAAGGGACGCTCCCCTGATCTTTTCACACTGCCACTTTCAGGTAGAGTTGATGTTTGCTCCTCGGAGCCTCAGTTTCCCCCTTTCTGTCTGGCTGTGGCCAAAATAAATTAGCTGACAACTGCAGGGTGTGTTTGTGTAATTTCTTGTACACATTAGGTCATTAGTAAGAGTTCATTAAGGAACATGGTAAGAATGACACGCAAAGGTATTCTCTAACCACAAGGTGCATCGGAAAGTCCTTGGTCGTGCACAGAGTGTTTTAAAACCAGAGTGGGTCTTAGCAGCTTTCACTTGTGGAAGGCTGGGGAGGAGGGAACCAAGGCCCCTGGATGCCCGAGGGAAGAGGTCAGGTGTGTTGAGCAGTAAGGAAGATGCTCCTGTCAGAACTCACGCACTAGTTTTGTTCCTCAACAAACCTGCCAGACAACAGCCTCGGCTTCCATTCTGTGCCAGTATTGTCGGTTCTGCTCCTCTCACCTTGCACGTTTTAGTGAAGAGAGGGAAAGCAAGAACACTGAGTTACCGACCCAACGATTTTCCCATTTACAGGCTATGCAATTAAGCGATTTAGACATCACACAAAAGTTGCTCCATTCAAAAACAAGAACTCTTAAAGGAAAGAAAAGGAAAATAACAAATACTGCATAAAAGAAACTCTCTTTTACCCTCAGCCAATTATCTGTAATTATTTTTTGAGTCACAAATTGACTTGTTGTGATTCTTTCTTAATTTTGTTTTCAAAGTTTCTATTGAATCATTCACTGGCATGTCTGCTTTCATCATTGCCATTTTTATGCATGAGGTTGTCAAGTAGGTCAGTAACTCTTCAAAACAAACCTCGGGGAAGCAGGGGGAGGAACCTGCATTCTGCCAGAGGCCACACAGCCTGATACAGTGGCGGGGACCTCCAGTTGGGTTCCCCTTGGGTAAGGCTGGCCAGCTGCCTGTCACCCCAGAGGCAAAGCTGCTGTTCCATGGTTACCTTCACTTCAGGCAGGAGACTATTCCCCAAGAGAGGTTCCACTGGGAGGGAGAAAGCATTAGCAAATTCATGAATCAGAGTTCTGTTTTTAGTTCCTTTTGTGAAATACACTTGTTTCTTAATTTAAGAAAAACCCTATGCCTAGGTCATTCCTCGCAAGCATATATTAAGGTTGAGGAACATTGCACCTTCAGAAGTGCCAGTTCCCAGGTGAAAGAAGACCAGAGGTACAACTCCATCCATAGATACTGCACAACAGCTTCCGGGGACAGCTGATCATTTCCCCTGGCACCAATTTCATGCCAGCACAGAATTTTTTGTCCTTCTTATACCTAGATTCAGATGTTCACAGTGGTCACAGGGATCATTCATTTATTTAACGAGTATTTATTGAGCATCTACTGGGTGCCCAGCCTGATGCCAGGTGCCAAATGGCCTAGACAAGCTATATGTTCTTATACATTTATATTTTCATGCAATATATACATTACATTCTAGACAGAAAATTATAACAGTAAACAAAAAGAAGCTATTTAGATATTGCTTCGAAGAGAATAAATGGGATGTTATATCAGAAATGAACCTGGGAGTTCAACTTTGAAGAGGGTAGTTGGAAAAGTTCCCTCCAAAGAAGTAATATTTCAACTGAGAATCCAAAACGAGATTGAAGCCAATCATGCCTAAAGCAGAAGAGCTTTCTGGCCTGACATGTACTTAAGTTCTCAACCAGAAAGGTCATGGATGTCAAAGCGTCATAAAAAAGTCTGTGTGCTGGGAGGAAAATGGGCAAGAGGGAGAGATGTGCAAGATGAAGCTGAAGAAGAAACAATAGTAGGAGCTTTTGCTGCTTTTGCAACGTGAAGTGTTCAGGTTTCATCTTAAGGGCAGTGTGAATCCAATGATGGTTCTCCAGCAGAAAGAGAGAGATCACAAAACTTCTCTCCTCTGCTTGAGAACCACCATTGCCTTCACACAGGAGAAAGAAATAGAAAGATCAGGAAATTGAAGTAGTCTGGGGAAAAACCAATGGTGACATAAACCAGGGAAAGGTAGACCAAGCAAAGACAGAGCAGAGAGGAGGCCAGAGGATGGAAGAGGGATGTTTACAAGATAGATTGGCAGAAACCGGTAATCAACAGGACGTGAGAAATGAACAATGAATGCCAGGGTTTGGGTTGGAGCACCTAGGTAAGTGGATATTTCCATTTATTAAGAAAGAGAAGATCACTGCTGGTGGGATTGCAAACTAATACATCCCTTTTGGAAAGTCATCTGGAGAACACTTAGAGAACTAAAAATAGATCTACCATTTGATCCTATAATTCCTCTGCTAGGTATATATCAGAAGACCAAAAAATCACACTACAATACAGATATTTGTACCAGAATGTTCATTGCAGCCCAATTCATAATTGCTAGGTCATGGAAGAAGCCCAAGTGCCCATCGACCCATGAATGGATCAATAAATTGTGGTATATGTACACCATGGAATACTATGCAGCCATAAAGAAAGATGGAGACTTTACCTCTTTCATGTTTACATGGATGAAGCTGGAAAGTATTCTTAGAAAAGTATCCCAAGAATGGAAGAAAAAGTATCCAATGTACTCAACCCTATTATGAAACTAATTTTTAGCTATCATAGGAAAACTATAACCCAATTTTTGCCCAAGAATATGGGGAAAGGGGAGAGGGAGGGGAGGGAAGGGGAAGGATGGGTGGAAGGAGGGTGATTTCTGGGATCACGCCTATGATTTATCCTATAAGGGTACATGTGAGTCTTTCTAAATGTGGAATATAAATGTCTTAACACAACAACTATGAGAATGACATGAAGGCTATGTTGGCCATATGGATGACAGTATTTCAAATTGTATATGGAAACAACACACTATACCCCATGATAGCATTAATGTACACAACTATGATTTAATAAAAAAAAATAAATAAAAAGAAAAATAAAAAGAAAGAGAAGATGAGGAGTTAAACCAGTTGGGATCAATCCAGACCTCACTTTTAGATGTATTAAATTGGAGGGACAAATTAGACATACATAGAAAGACAACAAGAAAGCAATTGTTTATTCAAATCTGGAATATGAAAGAGAAATTTATGGGTTGTATTTTTTTTAAGACAGAGTTTCACTATATTGCCCTGGGTTGAGTGTCATGGCATCATAGCTCACAGCAACCTCAAACTCTTAGGCTCAGAAGATCCTCTTGCCTCAGCCTCCCAAATAACTGGGATAACAGGTCCCCACCACAACGTCGGGCTAGGAACTTGTGATTTATAGACCAAAAACATTTAGAAATATTTAAATCCACTGCACTAAACTCTTCTAGAAACAAAAATTTAAAAAATAAAGTCTTCTAGAGAGGTGCAATATGGACAATGAAGAGAAACAACCAGGACCAAGTCTTTCAATTTATCATTAAAGTTCAGAAGGAGCAGTAAAGGTGCCTGAGGGATTGTCAGTGGGGTAGAAGGAAAGCCAAGAGAAGGAATTGTCCTGGAGACCAGCAACTGGGACCAGAGCCCGAGGACCCAGTCCTCCCAGGCCCATGCTGACCTTCCAATGGAACATATCATGTACATCAGAGAAGGAGCATGGGGTGGGAAGAAAAGGATGTCCATGGGGAGGAGCCCCCTAAAAATGGATGTATGTGCCAAACAAGATAAACACATGCTTGGATGATCATTTATATTCTTGCCTCTGCCTCAAGCCCTAAAATGTACTTATCCCAGCTACATAAATGATCTTTCCATTCTATCTTTTTTTTGGGGGGGGGGGTGAGGCTGGGTTTGAACCTGCTACCTCCGGCATATGGGGCCAGTACCCTACCCTTTTGAGCCACAGGAGCTGCCCTGTCTTCTTTTTATTACATTTTTTACATTGTTCTGTGTGTATGTGTGGGAGTGTGTGCACTCGTTATGACATTAGTGATGGGATCCCCATAGTTTCCCTCTGGGAAGAGACAATGATGGAAACTCACCTTGTTTCCCTATGTAATCTTTGGGAAAGGTTATTTTTACTGC